CACATAGGCTTGCAGGCGTGACGATTAGGCCTTGTTTTTGTATATATCAATCGCTTTCCGGGGTCTTTCCGGTCCCCACGCAATGCTGCAATCTGCTGGAAAGCTTAGCTTAGCGACAACGGTCCCGCCGACACACTCCGCATTCATGCAATGCGAGAAAACGCCGCGAGCAGAATGCACGCTCTTCTGTTCACTTAATTCACATTCACTGGATCAACTGATCAACATGCCCCAAAGGCGAGACCCCCGAAGCAGCCTAATCGACAATACGACCCTCAGTCACAGATCAATATGATGACAACTGCCTCGGTAGTTCTGCTCATTTAAAAACACTGCAAGACAAGAGCCTAGAGCCACAGGCCGAGACTCTTCTATTCACCTACAGGTTTTAGTACACATCTTTTTCTGAAGCCTTTCATGAGACACCACATAAAAAATCTAAGCGATGCTCTTCTTTCTTCTTTTTTCTCAACTACCAAACAACAGCGTAAAGGCATGCACAACTCTGCAGCTAAATACAACGACTATCATAAGCGAAGCCTCAAAAATACATGCGCACCCCCAGTTTCCAACCCACTCTCACTACCCTGTGACCCAACCCAGTCAAACCCAGCAGAAAAAAAAAACTGGCGCAAACTCGCACCGGGCAACTTGGCAGCATTTCACCTTTGGCTAAATCTCAAGCAAACTACAACAAATGCACGTAGTGCCACACACGATTTTCGACGCAATACAAGGCTCCCATAGAGCCACCTATTTCGGATAACTTCTTTATGTGCACAAACACATAAGTGTCCACATTGTGTCTCACTGCAACAGGGCCCTTCTTGAAAGGCGTCTGAATAATCTTTTTTTTTTTTTTTTTCACTCACACAAGCACACGCGTCCACACTCTGTTCTGACAAGATTCCCACACCTTCTATCCTTCACGATTATCTTATATGCGCACACAAGCATACATGTTCACACAATGTTATCATCACAGCATCAAGGACTCTGTCGATTTCGGATAGCTCTTTCATGCACACAAAATTGCACGTATCCAAACTTTGCTCGCATAACAATTCAAGGCCACTATCTGTTTGGATATCTCACCATAAACACATCAACAAACATTTGTCACCACAACTGAAGGCCACTATCCATTTGGATATGCTTCTACCACACACATGGCAGCCGAGGCTGCTATGCAACATGAAGCTGAAGCTTCTCAGCATTTCGAATACTGCATCATTTAGCGAGGCAAGTGCAAAATGACTGCCCTGTTAACTTCGAACTGACTCCCCTATTAACTCCGCTTCAACTGCCCAGTTGACTCCCTCGTGTCATTTAGTACTGAAGCCCAATGAAAAACAACTTGCCAGTTTATTCCCAAATCAATTCCTTCTTTTACTTCCCCAGTTGACTCCCTTGCATAATTTAATAAGACAGGTGTAAAGCAACTTCGCCCAGTTGACTCCCAAATCTCCAGTTCACTCCCTTATGTTGTTTAGTAAGACAGCTGTAAAGCAACTTGCCCAGTTGGCTCTCAAATTGACTTCTTTTCTACTTCAATTGACTCTCTTGCACCATTTAGTAAGACTGGTGTAAAACAGCTTGCCTAGAAATTCCAAAATTAACTTCTTTTTGACTTCATCGGTTGACCCCTTTGTGTTGTTTAGTAAGAGAGGTGTAACACAACTTGCCCATCTGACTTTCTTGGCACAGGTATAAAAAATACAGGCGTAAAATGCCTCCCTTGGCAAGCTCACCGCCGGTGGGCAATTTTGCGTGCTGTGCCATTCTGGCACAGTACCTATCTGTTTTTACAAAAATGTAAAGGAAAGTTCATGCCATAGACAGTCATTCTAGGCCTAAAAAAATAACTGTCTTCCACCATCAGTTGCCACTGCTCGTTCGAATGTGAAACGATCAGCGCAAAACTGAAATTTACAGCACTTATGTTTTTATAGCTAAAGTTCATGTACAGGCCCTCGCAAGGAAGCATTTGCTAAAAAAAAATGGCACACACAGTCAGTGGCACAGTCAAGGGGTGGCATAGCAAGCAGTGTCCCCCCTCCCCCCCCCTGAATTTGTTCCCCCATGGCGTACAGAGCAAAAATGACCATTTCAAGAGGGTGTGCCCTCTCCATTTCCAAAATCAAGGAGGTTCCCTAAGAAAAATTTTTGCCTACGCCCCTGCATAAAGTTAAAAAACCAGTCATATTTGATACTATGTTTGATTGCCAGTTCCTAGACACCTGCTTCCGAATTTGCTTATCCTGCATCTCATGCCATTATAAACGCCTTTATTTTCCTTCTTTGTGCTTGATAATGATTGCCAATTGAGATGTTTTACACAGATTTTAGAAAGCTTATTTCTACTGATACCAGAGAAAGCCATCACACATTTTAGCTAATATTGAATCCCTCATTGAGAGTGCCAGACCAATCGTGTTGGCAACCGTCATTAGTATCACGTACGAGCTCGCCATTTGCAAGCACATTTTGTGGCTTTCTCTATGACCTTGGTCAATTCTCAGTGTGAGATTGCACAGCTACACAAATTCCATCTGCCGTAAAGAAGACCTCACAGTAAAATAGATCTGCTGTGTCCCTCTTTTTGTTCTGCTTGTTCGACCACATTTCTACGTCCACGTTTTTATATGCCGAAATTTAACCAGGCTGTTTTCGAACTCCAGATGTAACAGGTCCCTATTGCACTAGAATGCGGTTGTGTGCGAGACTCGCCCCCGGATTCCACCTCCGCGCAAGAGTGAGCGAGCCAGCAAATCACTGAGGCGAATCACCTATGCTTGGCTCGCTAAACGACGCAACATTCTATACACAAGGGCTTGCATTTCAAATGATCCCTGCCAGGCTTGTCTCTTGGCATTGCAAAAAAAACAAAGCAAGAGCGATGGGGGTCAATTTGATTATGACACAATGTATTACGAAGAAGGTTATTGACGACACCAAGAATTCATGCATCACTTCAATGAATAAGATTGCTGCTGATTATCAGTCGTTGAGCAATGCAAGCTTGCTGTATTGTAAGTGATCACCAGCGGCAACACAGGCCTTTCAAAGTCAAAATGGAAGGAAAGGCTTCCCTTTCTTCTAAGAAAGCTCTTACTCATTCAACATAGAACCCAGGTTTCCTGTAAGTGCTAATTGTAGTGCCTACTACAATCGCCATAGAGCAAAGAATGTCTTCGTACTTTGTACCAGTATTTCAGTTTGAACTCAAGCTGTACTGCAGAGATGTCCCTGAATGAAACTTTCTGAACATGCTATTCAAAGGAGGTTCTCCATGCAAGCTCGAGCAGAATACAAAGTGCATTTGGCCAGACCAGGCTTTCCAGCCCAATCATACCTGCTCCCAAATTTCCAATACCTTGGTTAACCAGCACTCGTAGTTCCAAGAGAAAAGCCTTGGCAGCAACCAGTCGAAATGCGAAACCCAGTAGCGCAGTGCCGTGTTCAGACAGCGGTCGCAGCCGGCGCCGTATTTTTCTGATCAGTTAGCAGCAGGTGCGTGCGCCTATGCCTTTCAGTCGAAGTGCACACTTTTTAAACCCCGGCAGCGCTAACGACACTGCCCGGCAGCTGTGACCGCTGTGAGGAAACACGGCCCAATCACAATCGACGAAAAATGCCCAGCAAAGGGGGCACGCTGTACAAAATCACAAGCCGCCACATCAGACTCCCGGCCTTTGAGAAAGCAATTCCGGGAATGCGGGCTCGGAACGTGACATCTTTCGGAACGTCCATCAAAACCGGTGCACCTTTAAGCACACAGAGAGATGAAATGCAGGAAGGAAAAACATAAAAACGTTAGGTGCTCCCACAGAGTACGCTCGCTTCAATTCTATCATGCAACAACGAAGACTTAAGTCAAACATCGTATCGTTATGATAACACTGATATAGTGAATTATCGGTTATAGTGAACTAGACATGAAGTTTGGTTGGTCATGCTTGCTTTCCGAGGCATTTATTCTTTTTATAACGAAACCAAAAACGCGAGAGTTGTCACGACATCAGCTATAACAAAGAAAGAAATATTTGGTTTGCACAAGGCTTATCATTCTAGTAAAAAGCAGAATATATCAAAAATCGATTCAGAATTACATTTTTGCATAAAATGAGATAATGACACAAAAAAATTGCTTTTGGGGTTAAAAAACTGGCGAAAATCTTTTTGAAAATAAGCAGCGCGGATGCTGCGAACATGGCCAGGTGACTCGGAAGCCTGTAGTTGAAGAAACTCCGAACGACTAAAACTGCTGAAGTAGAATAGGCCATCTCATGCTATGGACACTTGAAATCTCCTTGCCTATATAGACATTATTATAAAATTATTTCTGAGCAACTTAAACTGCCGATCTGTTAGAGCCCATTCTTTGCTGTAGTGTTACAATAAATCTGGGCTATAATGCGCTAATTTATGGTCTCGACGCTAGTTTATTATAACAAGGCTTGACTGCATTCGTCTAGATACCAGGAGCAAAGAGCACACAGAGATTAACAATGTAGCACCTCATAAAACAGAATCGTGGATCAAAACAAACGACATTAGAGAGCACATGGGTAAAAACATGCATATGACAAGAAAAGGTGTAGAAATCGACACACAACACAACTTCTGTTCCTGAAAAACCACATCTGCATTCTCAATGAATTACTTTCGAGAACAGTTTCACTTTCGTGCGTTGTTAATGAGTAAACAGCCATATACCGCGACTGGGCCTAGTTCAAAAGTGACCCACCAAAATTGACGACACGATTTCATCGAGGCAGTGACTGTTGCGACACAAGACGACCCCGAAACCACCGAGATGCGAGCGTGCCTCTGACCACCCGGGCCTCGTAAACTTCCCCACGTCGTTCATTTTTTCGACCCCATCCCGATGCTCGGCCAGTCTAATCAACAGATAACCTCACTAAGTGCATCTGAGCATCAACAAAACATGCCGAAAAGCTGGCAAGCCGTACGGAAACCTTAGGTTTTCTTGAACATCCATGAATATTGAGCCCTTAAAGTTTAAACTGTCACAAGTACACTGTACCAGTGGCTGCCAGCTCTGTTCCGCTGTTTCTTTGACCACTGCATTCCTTATCCCCATTGGTGGTGTCACGCCAGAACAAAATGAAAACAGGAAGAAAAAAAAAAGATTTTGAGAATGCAGTGCCCCTTACAAGTGCAAAGTGCACGATCGCGACGTAACAGGATGCTAAATGCCCATAAGCCTCTGCGACGAGGCATCTGCGAAGGAAAGAAGTCGACATCACGAGTGTGAGCAAGAGTGGAACGACGGTTCCAATTTGTTTTTCCTACATTCCAGTTTCGTTCTGGCGTGACACATGAATGGTAACATACAATGTGGCAAAGCAGGCTGACTGAAGGAGCTTTTCGTGTGAGTAATATTTACTTCCCATTAGGAAAAAGAAATGTTATCAGAACCATTATTTTTAGATTTGCGAGTATAAACTGATTCAACTCGTATTTCTTGCATCACTGGACATGAAATGTGTGGAGGAAACTTTAAGATGGGGTTTGTTATGTATCTCTTAGAACAAGGATATTGGAATGCTCGCTCATATTATTTATGCTTTCCACATGATTTAGAACCAACTTAAGAGCATGAAAAATAATGGCATATCAGAATGTTACAGAACTTGCAGTGGATGCAATAAAGCAGAAAAGTGAATGTTTCCAACTAACACTGTCCCGTGAGCGAAAATTCTTTCTGGCACTTTAAAAAAGCTTTTGGTAAGGAAAGCATAATTACTGCCAAGAAAAATGTCTCGTCTTCTACAGCCTTAAACTCTTCCAAAAATGAAAAAAAAAGAAGTTATATATATATACATATATATTGACAGCAGTATAAGGTGGTAGAAACAAAACCATAGGCATTGATCCTCCGAAAACGGGGAGGCCCCACAATCAGAGTTAGGATGAAGGAAGTGCAAGATTATGAGCAAAAATGGCTACGAAAGTGGAGCTGTACCTAATGTTGAACATTGGCAGTGTAGACGACCTTTAAGAGTACACCGTTCGAGAAATCAAGGTACTGCGACATTCGAAGGGTCATTGCTTTGCAATAAGGTGCAGCGGTGAAGCACCTCGTGCGACAAAAACAAAGAAAAAAAATCTTTTTTTTTTTTTAGACATAACTCTCAACTCACGCCCATCAGTAGTCTTTCAAAGGCAATGAAGTAACCACTTGATCCACATTTTGGCCAGAACGAGCTTTTGTCACAGTCGGCCCTCAAACACCCTAGTACTGTCGTAGCACATTGCTTCTTGAGCAATGACACCTGTTGCTAGGGAGTGTTCACTGTAAAGTGAGACAGGCGGATGTATGGGTGCTAAACAACAGGGCAATGACACCCGAGAAAATCCACCCTAACACATGCCACGTAAATGGCAGCGAATGAACAGGTGCACTTGAATAGGTGCACACGGATCAGTGTAAACAAACATACCAAGATGGGCGCAAGTTTACAAGCGCATGCTATAAAAGAAAAGAACGTAAGAGGCATTGAAGCAGAGCAGCTTGCAACGCGATGGTGAGGTGGTCACTACTTAACTCGCTTAAACCATTAACTTTCAAACTAGCCCCATTATTGTCACATCGCCTAAGCGGCAACACATCAGCGCCAGTACCACAGGCAGAATTGGCAGGTATAGTTATGTTAGGCAGACGACTGATCACACAGTGTTTAAAGAATGATATGGGAAGGTCTTGTAGGATAGCAAACCAGCTAGTTAACTCCTCTACCTTTATTATACGCTCTATGGGAAGGTCTTTCCCTACTGTGTTTCCGTTTTTCTTTGGGTGCATGAAATTATGCACGCATGAATTAGTGCAAACGGATGGATGCAGTGCTATGGGCATACAAATATACACACTAGAACGGATGCGAACAAATGGTTTGACAAGAATGAATGTCGACAGATGGATATAGAGCAACGAATAGACAGATTGATGCATATAGACTGCACGGACAATTCAACGAGCAGAAAAACGCGTGTTGTGTAGTGATCAGAGTTGAAGTGGCAATAAGCTATAGCGCTATTCTCAACTAGGCATTTATTGGGGCGCCTTCTGTTGAATGTGACGCAGTAGCAAAGAACTTACATGGCCTCTTGCCTTCTCCTGGTTTAGCCAAATCAGCACCCATTCACTCAAAATGATCATCCTCCCAAAAGCGACCGATCCGTAATGTGACCCCGTGATTCGTGATGAGTTCGTTGAGTGCCAACTTGAGCAAAGGACGGGCAGCACAAATTCGGATGAGGTATTGCGTAGCAAACCTATCTGGATGTAGAAACATTTAGAAACAGCTTGGTGGTAATTAGCTGAATCTGGTATTTTCTAGCACCAGAGCCAACTGGTTCTCAGGTGTAGAGTACAAGAGGAGGCCATTGAAACCCACTGCAAATGTGCAAGTATGGCAATCTTGGGGCTTGGCTCGGTGCAGAGCTTGACAAATGAACCATTCGGAGACAAGTTTCAACATACTTCCACAGAGAGAAGTGTATGTGAATCAACAAAGAAAAAAAAATATTCCGCGTGTCCCTCATAAAGCACGCAGCAGCCACAAGGGAGCCTTTGCACCAAGCCTAACTAATATTTTCATCAAAGCCGAGCAAAGAGGGCCAGAAATTCTCTAAACTGTATATGCTTAATCAGAATGCATCATGCATTCAAGTGAAGAGCTGCAGAAGCGCACTAGACTGCAAGTCTTTCACTCGCCACATATGGCCATGCCAAGTCCCAAGCCCTGGCTCTAGAAAGTGAATGTAGAGGCGTAAAACAATAAGCATGCTGAAGTACGTTGACTGGCTAACAAATAAAGCTAAATTTTCAAGCACCGTTCTCTGCAGCCATAAGAGGCATGAAGCCAAACCGACATTACCACTGCAACTTTGCGAGCGTAAGAACCAGTCAAACTGCAAAACTATTCTGGTAACAACTGCTCAGTTTCAAGCATGCAAAAATCTCAGGCAACGAAATCAGAAAGAAGGAACCAGGAAAGTCAGATACATAACGTATTAGGACGGAAATGACCCTGCCTAAGCAGCCAGGACATTTCCTTGAGAGACAACAAAAATGAGACGACACACAGCTCGCTTAGTTTTTTGCCTTACTGCACATTGAAATTTGCACCCTATTGTGTTGACTAATAATGCTTCTCATGCCCCCTTCTTCATTGTGGTACCAACGTAAACACATGTACCTCTACTTCCAATGGAGAAATTGACAGCCCATTAAGTAGTCACAGGGCAGGTCAACTATTCACTATTCTGCACTGATTAGAGTCGCATCATATTCTTAAGGCGACAGTGCCTGAATACTACTGAATAAGATTGGCAATGTGGGAGAGTTGGTTTGCGCTTGTGCTGACGATGAGCAGGTCCGAAGCACAGAAGTGCTGAAGATGAAGTACACGCAAGGAAGGACTGAGGAAGGAAAGAAAGGGTTGCACACAGCGCTCGTGTTTGTTCTTCTTTCACTTCCAGAGTTGTTTCTTGCGTGTCTTCCACACTTCGGCAATTTGCGCTGCTCACTGTCAACGTGAAAAGTTTTGACTTCTCAAGCAGTAAGTTAACGCCCTTCAGCCAGCCTGCTAGTTACTCACATTTCAAAAGTGACAAGCCAGGGCTCGTTAGAGCTCGATGCAGGTACCCTAAAATGAGACACTGTGGCCAGATCAGGTCAGAAACGCAAAGCCCGTCTCGATAAGCTATCTCCACCCCGTTGAGAGGACTCGGTTGTCGAGTGGCCACACGTCACCGCCTTCCTGCTTGACCGGCTGGTGCATCGAGTGCTGCGGCAGTCCCAGCTGCATTGTGGAGCCTTCTCCGCCGTGGACCATGCCGGGCACCGGACTGCTCATTCCGTGCAGCCCATGGCGTGGGGGTCCGTCCGGACCGAGTCCCATCGGCGGTGGAGGCGGTGGCACCGGCTGGTACGGCGAGGGGACGTGCGTGACGCCTCCATCCAGGTCCGTGCTCCACGACATGCCGCTCTCGGGGAGTACCTTGCGGTCGTACGCGGCGGCCGCCGTGTCGAAGTCCAGCGGCTCCTCCTTGATTGTCGTCTGCATGCCGCCGTTGTGGTGGTGGTGGTGCGGGTGGTGCGCCTGGTGGTGCGGCCCGACGGTCAGGTCCGAGCTCCAGAGTGAGCGGCCCCCCACGTTGGTCACTGTGTTGTAACTTGACGGCGACTGGGTGAAAGTGTCAGCTGCAGGACAAACGGAGAATTAAGTCCCATCAAGCTTGCACCCTAATAGAAAGATTTTCTAGGTTTGACAGCTGAGCTGTTTAAGTACACAGAAAGTCTATCGACACGCACTTGTTTCGCCTTATTTTTCATCTTCAGCTTCGCTCCAAGAAAAAATGCACCAATTTTTCTGGCGTAGGATGCAATAACTTTAATGGGCCAGAGAGGAAAGAACAATAAGAGAGAAAGAAAAAAGAATTATAATGAGAAAGAAGTCGAAAAAACAATGACAGTGAAAGAAATAGACAAAAAATTGGGTGCCTATCTGCGTGCTTTGCTGCAAATGTTGTCGAAAGATGATGGTCTTCTACTGGTCATACTGCTAGTCCTGGTCTCATTCATCCGCGGCCATTTATGCTTTGCCTCGCCTCAGACAGACCTCCTCTATGTTGAGTCGCGAGCATCTGGCTGGCATTGATAAAATAGAGGCACTGTGTGAAATATGGACGCCATCTGGCAGTGGTGTCAGGAAACATGAGCTTGTGCAGAACCCAGTGCCACTACCAGGTGGCACTGCCACATCGTTGGCAGAGGGCTTATTTTTTTTGTGCATAGCGTCGCATTCAAAAACGCCAGGGTCTTTAAAATGAGGTATCTATATATTTTTCTAGTAAAGGAACACACAGCCTAATTCTTACGTATTGATGTTTTCACCTCAGATACACATAATATTTCATTTTTGATTGACCGTGTTCACAAGTATGAATGCAGCCACCAGTTCACAATGTCTGGGCATTAGCCAGAGCTTAAAGTTTGGCCGGGCTGGCCGAATCATGTGACAGGCAGAGACAGACCAAAATTTCTGCGTTAAAATATCCAAGAAAGACTATTGTTCTTAAAAAGAGAATAGCAAATGGAAATAACAAGAGGGGTTTGCTAAGCTCCACATTAAGCTCGGCACAACTTGTTGCAAGCTGCCTTTTGTTTTTCTGTCAGCAAACTTGGTAGCATAAGAGGATTACTTGATTGTCCATGGTATAAGTGCAAGGCGAATAAATGGTGGCGCAATGCTCCATCAGGGGGTGCCTATTCTCGATGTGCCCACTTTGGTTGCTGCCGATTGGCCAGTTCGGTGAGCGATGCAGCCCATTTCTAGTTCTTCCAAAATATCAATTAGACGTAACGGTGCTATCACAACTTGCGACATAAACAAGAAGAGAATGCACTTCAATGAAACGAGAGCAGCCTCCCCGAGATATGCTTTTGGCCGCACAAATCTCATAGGCCTTGCGTGCTGTGACCGCAGTTAGCCCTCCAATTAAAGGAGCCCTCTAACACTGCTTACCCCCCCCCTCCTACCTTCCCATTTTATACTGATGGGTTGTATAGACTGAAGTAAGGACAGATTACTGCAGCAAGAATAGCACTGACAAGGGCATTCAATCCGCAGTTACTCAGTCTAGAAAATCGAAAACACAAGAAAAATAGTAAGTAGGACCACGGGCGCTTGTCGTCGTGGTCCCAATCAGTCAAACAATCAATGCCCAGTGGAGTAAGTTTCTCTTAATGATTTTTTTCTTTCTCATTTCGTTGTGTTAGTTTTATCAACGTCATATCCGTCATGAAAATACGCCTACAAAGACTTAGTGAACCCCAGCGTAAAACACTTTCGTGTTAAAAAAGAAATGTCCTACCTCTAACTTTATTTTTGCTGGGTCCCATGATCCGCATTTCACTCCCCTCATGATGTTTGAGAGCACCCCAATGAAAGAAGCTGAAAGCTCCTATGTAAAGAAGCTTACACACTAAAGTGTCTTTTTCGACACGTTGAAGTACTTGTCCCAGTAACAAACGTGGTGCCAGACGCCCAACTTGTCCGAACTTGAGCGTACGCTACAGCTTCGAAGCAAGGCTTCGTGTGCTGTTCCTTACGCCGACATTCTGTATCACACTCCCCTATCCTTCTGAGACAGACATTTGTGAAACGAAAAGGGCGGTAAAGCATGGTTGCCCCTGCACTGGTTGTTCAGTGCGCTGCCCTTGAACTAAAAGGGTGCGGCGACATTAATTCAAAGGGGATTATTTGCTTCACTTCAACCACAATCAAAAGCCTAGAACACGCGCCAGAAAAGCCAGCAGCTCACAAACACACAGGCACAAGAAGAAAGAAGGGGAGAAGCTTTCGTATAGACATTAGACCCCTGCAAGCGAAAAAATCTCGAGGTGAAATGGCAGCCAGCACCTCAGTCATGCATTGTACTTGTAGTGACCTTTTTCATTTGCAACAGCACCTTTTAGGGGTACAATGAAAAAACACAAAAGTGGAAAACAAAACACGTCAGTAAGGTCAGTTTTGATGTCCAAGCACAAGCAATTATAACGCTAAATTTTTTCAACGACGGGCTTGCGTGCTTAGTCGTAATTTCCGTCCTCAAAAGTTCTGGCGAGCACCAATACTTGTTGGTGCGGTCGACAGAGATGTAGCGACTTTGTCGCGTGATGAGAAGGCTAGATCATTTGATATCAAAGCCCAGACCTATGCTAAAATTGTTTCCAGCCACCACAGTCTACGCAAGCTACAAATAAAAGATGAGCGCTTCAAAAGTACTGGAGGGCCCCTTTCAGCTTAATGTGGCTGCCCGTTCAGCCCACCTGCGAAGGACAGTACACATTGCCTGCACCATTCGCAAGCAGCTGAGCCCATAGGTCGGAAAAAAGAACGGTGTAACTCACTCAGACTCGCTCGAGAAATTTTGCATTTCGGAGTCAATCAGGCTCAGACTCACCATAGTTTTCCTAAGCAAGACTGGCTTGAAATCAATCTCATCTAAGTACTACCCCCGCGAATTTGCTCAGACCCAAATTCGCGTCTTGATCTGAAACTGAGCGAGTTCGAGTGAGTCAAGTCATGAGTCAGTTCGCCAACCTATGCCTGGGACAAGCTCGTATAAAATGACGAACATGACAAGTTTTAAGTGTTCTGAGAACCCCCATTCTGTTTACTTTTTTTCTGTTGGAAGTAGGCTGTGTAGGTTCGGTGCATCGACAGTCATGACTGCAATGACATCATGGCTTATCGTGATGTCACCCAGAATAACTTTGGTGCATACACATAGCTGAAATGAACATGTCCATTAAATGCACAGTTTAAAAATCCACCCCCTCCCCTTTTCACATCTAAGGAACAGGCAGCCATCATTTCAGTTAATTTGCCGCTATTACTTGAATTCTCAGAAAGAAGCTTTGTCCATTTCTGGCACAGCTGCCAAGAAGTCAAATGATGATTAATTGAGCTAGCTTTAAAACCATTGTCTACCTCTACTAAGCACTTCTTTTCTGGTGAAAATTTACCACACCAGCATAACCATGAATATGGCGCTTTTCTAGATCGTTCTGCAGCAAGAGCACTTGCGGAAAAAAAAAAAAAAATGTGACTATAGTTGTCACAAGATGCTGAAACCAATATTACACAGATGCCCTTGCATCGTAGGCAACAAACATGTGCAGACAAATCTGGTACGTACGTGTCTGCACCGAGCGGTGAAATTCCCTCTTGCGCCGATTCGCGAACCAGTTGCTGACGTTGGTTATGGTCATGAAGCCACACCGGCTAGAACCTGCGAGTGAATGACCACACGGAGAAAAAAAGAAATAATGCATGATGCATTTCTTTTTGAAAAGACATCAACAAAAAACAAGAAAATTGACATCCCAAGGCACTGATGCTTCCTCCTTGATTTCTTCTTCTGTCCATGTCTGTCCAATGCTAATCACATTTCCGTCATGTTTTGACAAGCCCGAAATTCTGTTGTATTGATGACCTGACCAGATGTACAGTTGTGAGCAATGTGAGCAGGAGCACATCAGCGCACTACAAATACTCTCAAACTCAACGTGGCATTATTCATGGCAACTGCTGTTGGAAACAAAGTGGGGATGGTGACAAGGTTCTGTTAAATGTTGGTCCCTCCTGCCTCGCTAGTGTTGATAAAAAAAAATCACAGCGTATCCACGAAGTGAATGATGATGAAGGAGCTTGCTTCGGAGGTCAAGTCCAGTAAACTGTGAATCCTTCGTACATCCGCTCGGTCGTCATACAAAAAGATGACCCGGGTCGATGAGCCTGTGCGGCTTCGGCGGCGCGAGCCCTCGCCGCTGTCGCCACCTTAAAGCTGGAGCTAGCTCACTGCCGGCGCTGGCGTTTCGCTTCAGCCTTGCAACTCTCACGGCAGGGTCTTGACAGTGAGACCGCGCTGCAGCTGCATCGCGAGCCCTCTGCACCGCTGCCTTGACTTCTTTGGCGTTAATGATGAGAGCTGAGTAGCAGTATCAAAGCGCACCGAGCGTTGTTCAGCGAAAGAGAAAGGAAGCGTGCCAAGAGCAAGCGTTATATATAGCCGCGGCCCTCTAGTGGTCTCCTCTCAAACTAAAGCACGCGCCAACAGTGGACCGCCGCCTAAGCGGCAGCGTGCCATCTGCTTACTGCTCTTGAAATCGGCGAGAGATAACCTCCCAGCAAAAGGAGAAAGCTCCTAAAACTCACGAGGCAGGAGTGCCAACAGTTAGCTAAAGCAAGGCGCCCTTCCAGTGTTGTTTCCAACAGTAGCTGCTGCGAAATACAAGGCCTGATTTGTTTATCCTTTAACTTGTGTATGTGTGTCCGTGTGTTTGTGCTACACAAAATCAAGTTACAGCAAAATAGGAATAGAACAAAACAGTACTGCTTATAGCAATGAGCGCTACTATTTTTTTCTCACGTGCAGCAACACCTGAGCACAGAAGTAGGCAATACAACAAGACGTTAAGAGCACAATACGTTTATTGTGCCATAAAAGGCACACTGTGAGAGCAGCACCGTTTTGCAGAAACCCCCCCCCCCCCCCCCCACTACCTCATTACTAAAGCAGCATCAAATTCTCAAATCGAGGTTTGAGGCTATTTTGCATGCACTCGCACGTTCCGGCTCGTACTGCTCATGCTGGTACGGCAAACAGGAAGTCACGCACCACTCTCCATGGAGTAAGCATTGCACTCCTCGACGACCCTCTCCTTGTCGTTCTGGCTAGGGTAAGGGTTACGCTGGTAGTGCCTCTCCAAGATCTCCAGGTGGCCCTTGACAAACGTGAAGCGCTCGCGCTGCTTGGTCAGCCGCTTCAGCGCATCCTGGGGAAGCCGCGTCATGTCGGTGCTCGGGGTGGCTGCGACGAACGAGAGAGAGAGCGCACTGTGCACCACGTCATGTAACATCCAAAGAGCGCTCTTGATTAACTTTTACTATTCGTTAAATGCCTGTAATGTGATGAAAGGGGCTAATTGGTTTTTGTTTAGGATGACTGCCAGTTGGGCGTGTTGGTAAAGGTTCATGATGAAACAAGCGCAAAAATACACACACTCACAGAGGACACAGACAAGCGTTTACTCGGCGATGTGCTTACAGCCGGGGGACGTTACGAAGGACAAATCACAAAGAACGAAGGACGCGTTAAAACTGTGCCCCTGTGTTCCTCGTAATGTGTCCTCCGTTATGTCTCCCTGCCACGAACTCATCGTCAAGCCAGCTATTAGTAAAATCTTCGCACAGCAATGCCAAAAAAAAACAACCCCTCTTGCAAGAAGATACTCGGTAAGCCAGAAAGCTTGCGAAAAAATGCACTTAGTCTAGCACTAAATCTACTCAGATCGAGCATTGTTTCTGTAGTTGATGCAGCTTTAGTGTAGGTACCGCGCAGGTCCTGGCGTAGTTCTGAATCCAGCACGGTGGCTGCGAGAAGACTGTGAAGCATTGGAAGGCCTACACCGACGACGATGTGCCCATATATCTAAAGAGGTGTCAATGCTTGGTTTCAGCGTCACGTTTTGTCTCTGGAGATGAGACATAAGTGTCATGTCCGGGACTGCCTGTGGTTTGACTCGAACCTTTCTGCACTGAGATTCAATGTAGAAACAACCTGCATCACTAGCTAAGGTCTAGAGACAACCTAGAAGCAATCCAATTAGTCATCAGAATTGTCCAGTTTTGCTGTTTCAAGCTACATAAGGCCTACCAATTTCTTTATACATAATTTGAGGTAAATTATTGAGATTATTGTGTCATTTATATAATTTTAGACCTTGCTAGTTTATCTTGCACCGGTTCTGAGCATTATTAGCCCTGTTTTAGGCCTGCATTGACCAGTGCGGAAACGTGCGACACAAGTGTCATGAGTATATTACAAGATATGAAGAAGAGAAGGACGAAGGGACACCAGGTGATTTGAACAACGCTCGCCTAATTTAAAGAGAAATTAGAAAAGAGGAAGACGAAGGAGAGAGAGCACGAGCGACGACGTGGCCGAGAGAGAATGAAGCACGGGGTCTTGAAACGCAGACGTGCGCGGACGAGGGGTCGAGGCGGCATGGTGTTTGCCGGAACCCCATGAGCACAGCTCCTAGGAAAGATGCGCCCCAGCCTTCACAGCAACACCCTGTAAGCTACGGGGCGCAGCCAGGAGTTAGACCAGCTCGGCCCAACGACTCCAACCCTCTTGTCACGCACCAGATGGCCTGCAGAGACGCTCTATAGGCGGTGCACCAAGAACGACAAGCGGTACAGTTGCTGTGGGGACCCGACGTTGCATATACAGGTCATTGTACGGATCTGACGGTGCAGCTTACGGCTGGGACCATCGACGCAACGAGCTTCAAAGACCGGATGAGCCCTACGACTCGACGCCAGAGCTAAGTCAAGGCAACGCACCTTGAACTCTGTAAATATGACGTTCTAGTCTTGTGTGTGTGTGATGTGTGTGCATATATATATATATATATATATATATATATATATATATATACATATATATATATATTGTGAGGAGGTTTATTAGGCGTTAAAGACGGCGACGAGACAGCGTGAAGAACCGTCCAGCGATCGGCACAGCAACGAACCGAAGCACGAGCCGACAGAGCCGGGCGTTGGCGATGCTGCTTGCTGCAGGCACATCTTCTTCACAATCGCCCCCGCTGAAAAAAGAGCCATCCTGGCGACCTAAGAAGTTTCAGGGAGGGGCTCATGACATGGTTTTAAGCGGGAAACATGGACGATGTCACGTGCACGCCGGCGCATGTCATCCAATCGGGAAACTGGCTCAATTAGGTAATTAACCGGAGAGGTTTTTTTTAAAACGGTGTAAGGCCCCTCGTACCGGGGGACAAGTTTTGATGAGAGTCCCGGAGTTTGGTATGGAATGGCAAGCCACACGAGAGACCCTGGGGCATAGCTGGGATCCGGAAGAGAGGTGCAACAGTTTTCTTTCTGGCGTTGCTGCTCGTCCAAGGTGAACGCACGGGCGAGATGGCAGCACTCTTCGGCTTGTCGAGCAGCATTGGAGATAGGTGGACATTCGGAAGCATCAGGACGGTAGGGAAGTAGAGCATCAATTGTATGGGAAGGGTGACGTCCATAAAGAAGAAAAAAAGGTGAAAATCCCGTGATTGTTTGTATTGCAGTATTGTATGCGAATGTGACGTATGGGAGAACACGGTCCCAGTTGCTATGATGAGATGCCACGTACATTGAGAGCATATCACCAAGCGTGCGGTATGCTGTCGTTTTTCGATGAATGACGTGGCATTCCGAAAGCAGAGCTTCGATGACCTCAGAGAGGAAAGCGCGGCCTCTGTCACTAAAGAGCTCTCGAGGTGCGCTATGTCGAAGGATAAATTGACGTAAAATGAAAGAGGCGACATCCTGGGCGGTAGCGCTCGGTAAAGCGGCTGTTTCGGCGTAGCGTGTTAGATGGTCCCGCCACTATAATCCACCGATTGCCATCTGGTGTCAATGAAAGGGGGCCGTAGAGGTCAACGCCAACGCGATCAAATGGCTTGGCAGGGCACGGAAGTGGCTGCAATTCGCCATTCGCACGTAGCGGTGTTGATTTGCGTCGCTGGCAGTCACGACAGCACTGCACAAATTTGCGTACAAAATTGTACATGCCGCGCCAGTAATAGCGATGGCGAAGGCATTCATATGTTTTGAACACCCCGGCATGGCCACAGTGTGGATCGTCGTGAAGAGAGGCGCATACCTGCGATCGTAAAGTGCGTGGAATGACCAGTAGCCACCGGCGGCCATCAGGAGAGTAGTTGCGTCGATGGAGAAGTTGATCGCGGATGGCAAAATGGAAAGCTTGACGCTGGAGGGATCGAGATACCGGAAGGTTGGGCGTACCGAATAGATATTCGAGAAGAGATGCGATCCACGGGTCACGACGTTGTTCGGTGGCAATTGAGTCAAGATTTAACGATGACAAGGTCTGGAGGCACGTGTTTCCGCTAGTCGGATCTGGTGGCAAAGGTGAGCGGGACAGGGCGTCAGCGTCAGAGTGTTTGCGTCCGCAGCGGTATACAACGCGAATGTCGTACTGATGGATGCGGAGTGCCCATCGCGCAAGGCGGCCAGAAGGGTCTTTCAGCGTGGAGAGCCAGCAAAGCGCGTGGTGATCAGTTACTAGATCGAACAAGCGGCCGTATAAGTACGGCCGGAACTTTCCAAGCGCCCACACCACTCTTTTTTTGACAACACTCTTTTTCTGACACGCTGTAATTAGTTTCGGCTTTCGTCAGAGTGCGGCTAGCGTAGGCTACAACGTATTCTGAATAGCCGGGCTTTCGTTGAGCAAGGACAGCGCCTAGCCCGACGGCGCTGGTATCGGTGTGCGCTTCGGTAGGAGCCATCGGGTCGAAGTGGCGAAGAATAGGTGGGGAGGTGAGCAGACGGCGCAGAGTAATGAAGGCAACGTCACATGCAGGGGACCAGGAGGAGAGGTTCACGTCACCGCGAAAAAGCTGGGTTAATGGTGACATGATGGATGCAAAATTGCGAACAAAGCGCCGGAAATATGAGCATAGGCCTACAAAACTGCGAAGTTCCTTCATGGTCGTCGGCTTGGGAAATTCTGCGACTGCTCGAAGTTTTGCTGGGTCAGGTAATACACCGTGCTTCGACACGATGTGGCCTAGCATGACGAGCTCGCGTGCAGCGAAGCGGCATTTTTTCAGGTTAAGCTGCAGGCCAGCATTGGTCAGACAAGTCAAAACGTGCCTGAGGCAAAGGAGGTGCGTAGGAAAGTCGTGCGAGAAAACCACTACATCGTCGAGGTAGCAGAGGCACATATTCCACTTGAGGCCACGTAGCGTATTATCCATAAGTCGTTAAAACGTGGCGGGCGCGTTACAAAGCCCAAAGAGCATGACGTTAAACTCGTATAGTCCGTCAGGTCTAATAAATGCAGTTTTTTGGCGATCAGCTTCAGCCATTGGAACTTGCCAGTAGCCAGACCGCAAATCTAGCGACGAGAACAATTCCGCTCCGTGAGGGTGTCAAGGGCGTCATCAATGCGCGGCAAAGGATATACGTCGTTGTGGGTTATCTTATTCAAACTACGATAGTCCACGCAAAATCGGATAGATCCGTCTTTCTTACGCACCAGGACGACAGGAGATGCCCAGGGACTGTATATGGTCGAATGACGTCTCTACGAAGCATATCTTCGACTTGATCGTTGATGACGCGATGCTCTTCAGTGGAGACACGGTATGGTCTTTGACGCAGTGGCTGGTGTAGGCCGGTGTCAACATGATGCTTGACTTGCAACGTGCAGCCTAGTTGAGGTTGCAACACATCGAAAGAATTCCGGAACTCATGCAGAAGATCAAGCAGGTCGGCATGTTCGATGGGAGTGAGGGTGTCGGCGATGGCGCTGGAAAACGTATCCTTGGACGACTCCTCGAGGGCCGACAGTGATTTTGGGTGGTCGCAGTAGTCATCCGGAACATCAACCAAAGACGAAGGGTCGAGATCCTGCACACGGCCGAGACATTCCCCCAAAAGCAAAGTGACAGGTGTGGAAAGCGGGTTGAGTATGAACATATTTCTTCTTCCGGCGGCAAGGTCACTCGTTGCGAAAGGCAGTGGCAGAGCTCGACGACTCGTGAAGATATCGGAAGGCATAACAAAGACTGTAGCGTCAGTGTAGGCGTTGCATGAAACTGGAACAAGTGCGAAATTTTCAGGTGGAATATCGGTATCTTCACGCACGAACAACTTCGGCGGCTGATGAAGAGCGCCAGGAAATGGGACATCACAAAAGGGTGAAAACTCAACTTCAGCGCGTGCGCAGTCGATGACGGCATTATGGCGGGATAGGAAGTCCCCTCCGAA